GCAAGTATCGGGCCCCGCAAGACATCCAGGCCCTGGAAAAGGCGAAGAAGAAAGGTAGATATTTTGAAAGCTGCTTTTATGGTTTTCTAGTAGAGTGGCGCTTATTCAAATCAAATCGGCTTCAAATTGATTTTGATTTGAATTAGCAAATTTGAGTGCAAAAAAATCAACTTCAAATCAAATCGATTTGATTTGAATTAGGGGCTGGCCAACTCAAATCAAATCGATTTGATTTGGGATTTGAACAACAGGCTTATCAGGGATGCAAATTGAAAATCGGCGGTTCGGAGGGCTTTTGATAGCGCCGTTTCTGCACATTTAGGTGTCCTTTACAATAATTCATGGGGAGTTTTGATGACATTTATATAAAATTGAGCCAGACGGTTTTTTTGTCAGATTTAGCCTGCGCTATGGTTTTTCTTTGGAAAAGTTAACGGGTAAAAACAATAGGAAATGTATAAGGAATCGTTAACTGGGACGCTGGAACAATGCTAAGAGATTATAGGGAAATAGCGGTGCACGAATAACGAGTTGTGTTTGGTTCATTTCTATGAGGTCTTATTCAAATTATTCAAATCGGCTGGATTTGATTTGAACTGGCGGAACTCAAATCAAATCGATTTGATTTGATTTGCTCGGCTCCAATTCAAATCAAATCGGCTTGATTTGAACAATTTGAATCTTATTCAAATCTGATTTGAATAAGCGCCACTCTATTTTCTAGGTTATCTCGTCCTTCTCGAAGGTCTCGTTACCGGCTCGTCCGCGATTTCTGCTCGCTTCCAAGACCCGCATTTCAAGGTCTGTTTTCTTCACCTCCTCCGAAAAACTTTTAGAATGTCCCAACCAACACTCTGGATCTCGTCGTCGTCGCCAATCTGCTGCTCGAACCAGCCCAAGATCTCTACGTGCCCACCAATTCCGATATCGCCTTCACGGTGAAGATCGTCAAGGAGCGTGGCCTAGAAGGTACCAGCCGATGCTCTTATCTTTTTTAATCACCGTTTTTAGATGTTCCTATGCCCTCTCCACTATACACGCTGAAGCTCGACAACGAGGACTGTAAGCTCAACAGCAAGACTTCCACGGTCACCGCTGTCAAGAAGGGCAAATCGATGCTATCGCTCAATTTGGAAAGTAAATGGACAATGCGTAAACTAATTAATTTCTTTCTCTAGATGTCGACCCCAGGGTGACAAGCAATGCCGCGGTTCGTCCTCCATCTACCCGCATCTTCATCGTCGACCCGGAGAGTCTGCAATTCGCTGTGGCTGGAAGTAAGAATCTTTTCTACGACTTATCTCTTTTTTCTAGGCAACTGGCTGCTCGAGCGCGGACGCACCTACCGGATCAATGTCAACCTGCTTGACCCGCACGGAAATCACATGTTCATCGCCGACGTAAGATTGCCATCCGAAAGCCATTTTTTCGTTTTAGAATGCCCGCTTCGAGACCGTCTTCCCACACGACTACTTTGACATCAAGTGGAATACCAAGAACGCTACCTGGTTCGAAGTTACCCCTAAAAAATCTGGCCGTGTTAACATCAACTCGAGGCTGAACTCCTTTATCACCGAGGTAAATCTAATTTTTTTCGATTTCTACGATCATTTTCCAGGGCGGCATCGAAGTCAAGATCAAGCGAAAAGTCGACGGGGAGCAGGAAGTCGAGATTGTCGACCCGATCACCGTCGCCCCTGACCAAATCGTACTGCCATTTTTGACCGGCGTTAAGTTCAACTACCCTTTGACGGTGAGTAATCATAATTGGATTTTTATATTGATTTTTTCGTTTTCCTTTCTTCTCAATTCACCGAAATTTATTTAGGCATCGGGCGGAAGTGGCACCTACTCGTGGGCCACCGAAGACCGCAGGATCGGCACGATTCATGAAGCTACCGGGATGGTCACCTCTGGACAGATCGGTTGGACGGCGGCCACGGCCACCGATCGCCGAAATCCGGCTCATTCTGGAAAATCTACGGTAATTTTCACTTGCCTCAAGTCGATGGTTGTCCTTTTTTAGCTTGGCGTCCTCGAAATCGTCTCGTTGGACTTTGGAAAGACAAGGAAAGAGGCTGAGGAGGGCAAGATTCTTTTCGTCAACGTCCAGCTCTTCGGAATCGACCGTACGAAGGGCCATCGCCATTACCCGTTCACCGATTGCCGCAACATTCCATTCGTCGTCGAGGTGCAGAACCGTGCCCATTTCGTGCACGTGCCAGGTAAATTTTGTATTTAAAATCAAAATTTTTGTTTTTTTAAGAAACCGCTTCCACCATTCCGTCCGAAGGCACGGGTTGCGCCACCATCGCTCTGCGTGCTGTCCGCTCTGGCGACACCCGTGTTACCGTCAAGTACGACAAGTACTCGGCCACCATCGATATTTCGGCTTTCCCGGCTCTCAAGGTATTCATTTCTCACATTAATAAATTTCTGCTTTGTGATTCAGGTTGATGACGATCTGCTTGTCCCCGTCGGCGGCGCGTACAAGCTCAACACGTTCGGCGGACCGCGCCCTTGGCTGTTGGACAACTCGCAGTTTTTCGTCAATGGTTGGTTACCTCGTTGATTGTGATTTATGGTTTTTTGAACCGGTGGTGTTATCACAAAGCAAAAAAATTTTTTGAAAACATCGAAAATGAAATATTTGATTCAGGTGTCTCGCAAGACAAAGTTGTAACTGTCAAGCAGGACGATGAACAACTCACCATGGCGTGTTCCGGAAAGGAGGGCTCGACGGTATGAAAAGTATTTCCTACATCAACTTTGCTTTAGGAAATCAAACTGAGCGTCGGCAACAACCCCACTTCTTCCAACGAAATCCCGGCCGTCATCTCGACGAATGTGCGCGTTTGTTGCGGACGCCCGATCCGCATGGCTCTCGGCGTTGAGGGCCGCACCCCGAGCTCCAAGGACTACCCGAAATGCCCGAATTCTGTCAAGGTATAGATTTTTTTTCTCTTCAAAGATGTCCGTTTTAGACCGTATTTGCCTCGGCCCCATTCCAAGTCGGCGTTCGGCTTTATGGACGTTGCGGATCGAATGAGGAGGAACGTGTGATGTCCGGCATCGGCTCGCTCGATTTCACCTGGAGCCTTGGCAGCGGCAAGGACCTCCTGGCGCTTGCCAAGGAGACGAAGCACAACGAACCCGCTACTCTCGGTAATTTTAATTTTTCGCTTTTATTTTCGACATTTTACGTTTTTGAAATTATCTGTTTTCAGCTTTTGTCGACGGATATCCGAACGGCAAGGTCGGCGATGCTCTTATCAACAATGTCGTCACGAAAGTCGGTTCACACCGCCTTCCGCAGAAGCTGACCGCCTCCCTGGAACTGAAGCTGGTATGTCGATATTTTTATATTTTATTAAACTACCAATTCAGGTGAAACGCGCCACGCCTGTCCCGTCATCTCTTGTGCTCTGGAATGATCCCACTGCTGCGGCCACCATCAAGCTAAATGGCGGATCTGGACATTATCATCTGATCGATCGCTCGACGTTCTACGATGCCCTGATTTCTGATGGAAATATCAAGGTTTAACAATTTTATTTTTCGAACCCATTTCTTTTTTAGGTCTCGCCAAAGAAGATCGGCCAGAGCCCGTTGCGTCTCGTCGACATTTGCATCGATTCCAGCGAGATTGTCATCCCCGTCAAGATCACGGACATCAAGGCGCTCAAGATTCAAGGACCGCAATATGTTAGTTTCTAGTCAAAGATCTTTATTTTTCGGTTACAGTTGGAAGTCACCACCGATACGGAAGTCGAAGTGCACGTTGTTGACGCTGATGACGAACCGTTCTCTGCTGAATATGTTTCTGTGATGGGCCTTGAGCTCACCTCCAGCAACACGCACGTCAAGGTCGAGAGGTAATTTTTCTATCTAATTTTTCTATTAGAATTTTTAGGCAAAACGGCATGAAGTTCCGGATCCGCGGCCAAACCGTCGGCGAGGTTGCCCTGGTAGCTGCCGCTCGTTCTTCCGGAGCCGGTGCGATACGCAGCCGCCAGCATATGATTCAGGTTCGGCGTTTCTTTCCCACAAAACTATACTATTTTAGGTGTTCGCCCCGATGCGCTTCCAGCCGAAGATTGTCACCTTGGTTCCGGAAAGCACCTTCCAGGTTTGCCATTCCCTCCAGGCTATCATTATTTTTTTAGCTCGAGGTTATCGGTGGTCCTCGCCCGACGCCGCCAATCTCCTTCTCCACCAATACGTCTCGTCACATGAACATTGCCGCCAACGCCCTGATCACGTCGAAGAACGAGCTGGGCTACACTCTCGTCACCGGCACCATTCAGCAATCCGACGGACGTAGCACTACGGTAATGCTTGCACAATTAGCTTAAGTAACCAAAAATTTTTCGAAAACTAACGCTTTGAAACTCATGGTAGAAAAGATCAAACATTTGTTTCAGGACTCGGTCTTGGTGAAAGTTGTCTCGCTGGCTTCGATCCGCATCCGCGTCTCTTCGAACTACGTTGAAGCCGGTGGCAAGGTCTGGGCTCGCATCGATGGAATGCTGGACGATGAGACTCCCTACTCCTTCGGAGGCGCTGAGTGGCCGCTCAAGGTTTGTGAAAAATTGTTGCTTGTTGAGACCCGAATTTCTAGGTGAACTGGTCGCTCGGCGACGCCAGCGTGCTCAGCCTCGACTCGTCAAAGCTCGGCACGGCTCTCGAGGAGCCTGAGCAGAACCGCTTCTCCATCTCGCTGAACGCCAAAAACGCCGGAAAGGGCACGATCAAGGTCCAAGTCGAGATGCACCCCTCGGCAACGCGCCACTTCCAGGTATCAGCTAAATTCTTTTATTTATTCCCTTTTAGGGAAAATCTCGTATTTTCAATGCCGAGGCCACGATCACCGTCGATGAAGCTCCGGCTCTGGCTGACCCGAACATGCCGCTGACGCAGATTCGCATCGCGCCCGACACCGAGTACAAGCTGCTGAGCAAGTGGTGAGTTTCTGCGAATTTTTGGGTGTGTATAATTTATTTATGTTCTTTCTTATTTTGTGTATGGCTCAGGGTGGAATTCCCCTTTGCACGAAACTCGGGCATTTCGATGGCCTTAATTTTCGGGTTCAAAAGCGCGAACAGCTCCTCGTCAGGGAAGAGGGAGCGGCCCTTATCTGAATTACATTATTCAATGCCATGTCTTTCTTACCGGGAGTCGGAAAGGCATCGCAACCTTTTTCTCCGTTCGGGCCGATGCTCATGCGACAGACGGCCGCATCGACGTTAGAATTGTAGATCTAGTTTCTCTTTTTAGGCCACAAGCCAAACCTTACCTTCAGAATTTTATTTAGCTCCTCTGCTCGCTTTTCCATTTCATTTCTGTAGGTTTGCAAATTTCGCCGGATTGTGGGAGCGGCGATTTGGTTGTAGATACCAATAGACTAAAAAAATTGATTAAAATTAGAGCCGTTGTTTTTTGATCACCCTCAGCTGAATCAAAGAATTCCGCGCAATGTTGGCTAGCAGCTTTCCTTGCATCGCCAGCTCCTCGATCATTTTTATCGTTTGGAGTCGCGTGCTCTCAATCTGTAGCGAAATTTTGAAAGAATTTTTCAGTAGAATTAGAAGTTTTTTTTGGATGATTTATGGTCAAACCCACCTCGGCATTTGCTTCATAAGCCGCTGTATTAATTAGATAGCGTTGCTCGACGGTAAATGCTGTAATTGTTCGAGCGACCAGGAGGGCCTGAAATTTGATTTACTTTGAGGGGTTATTTTATTTGCATTTTTTGATTTATTTTCGTTATTTAGTTTCTACGTTAATTGGATAAAAATGAAAAAACTTAGTTTCCACAAAGTATTCTATTTTTCGAATTTTTCATAAGGTAAACGTAGTCGATTGAAAATCCATCGTAAAACTATTGAAAAATTGGCCAGAAAACGGACCTGCTGCGCCTCCTGCGCCTTATCCATCACCAATCTCGCTGCCGTATTCGTGTTATTCATGGCCTGATTTTCTATCGAAATAATATACGCCAGCCCGGCATCCACGCTCCTTTGCATCGTCAGCTGGTTGACCATCGTCCACGGGTTGTACCATAGTGAAATCGGCGACAATTGGGCCAGCGCCCCAGTTATCAGCACGAAAATGTAGAGCGCCATCCCGTTAACCATACACTGGTCCCGAAACAACTCGAGAAATGATCATCCCGCGCACCGGGGCTCCCTCAACTTTTTACCCATATTCATCGGTGTGTTTCTCCGGCCCGCGTGTGCGCCGTTCTTTCGGGATTGGCGTAACCTATCAATTTCCGAACGGTTTTTGCCATGTTCCCCAATTTTCTCTCTCTCACATCGCTAACCAGTCATCCGGCTCGCCGGTGATTTCTGATCCAATCCGGGCGCGTCTAATTGGAAATGGCAGTTGGGGCATAGTTTTACACTTGGTAGTTTGGGTACAATTTTTCTTTTCAGGGATGAGAGCCAAGTCAGCTGGAGTGTGCCGCCAGCCTTCAACTCGCTGCTGTCGATCACGAAGAACGGGCTTCTGCGCACTTTCTCGACTTCCGGACCGGCTGGACTGTTGAAGGCCGAGTCATCGTCTGGCGCTAACAAGACGCTGCTGGTTCCGGTGCAGGTGCGGATTTTGAGTAATTCTATAAATTTGGGGTTTTAGCTTGGCCTAATTTTTATTTTCAAAAAGCAATAGGCCTAGCAAAAAGCAAAAATTTTTCTTTCTAGAGTTTATTTTTTGTTTTGGGTGTTTTTAATCGAAAAATTTCGAAATTCGAAACACCTTGAGAAAATATCTCAACTTTGAATTTTTTGAACATTGAATAATTTTTGGTAAAAACTTTTTCTGCGTCAAAAAAGGCGTAAACAGCTAGATAAATGGCGTGATTTTATGCTTGGGACTCTGTGGACTAATTTAGGCCCCCGCGAAAAGCCCAGTCCGACCAAAAACGACATTACGATTTGCAAAACACCTTTTTTTAGATCACCCCCGCTCGCTCAATCTGGGTCGAAGTTTTCCCGCCGCTCTCGGCCCCGGAATCTTCTCCACTGACCGCCCTCAATGTTGGCCAGACGCTCGATTTGTACGTCCACTTCCGCGACCGTTTCGGCGTCCGCCTCGTCGCGGCTCCGAATCGGGTCAACTTCCGTCCGCATCGGTACATTTAGTTCTTTATTCTAATTCCATTTTTTAGCTTTGACCTTACCGAAATCGCCGCCTCGAATGGCAACCGCACACTGGCCATCACCCTGAAGACGCCTGGTGAGACGGTGCTGCGCATCTGGGACGCCGAAGATCAGAGCATTGAGACGTTCATCCGCTTCTCGGCCGCCGATCTCCCGCCACCAGATGCCAACGAGACCACCAAGGACGAGTCGATCTTGAAGGCAATCGCCGAGCCGTCGTGCCCGATTCAAGGCGCATCCACCGCTGACAAAGCGAGCAGTAAGTTGTCCCTCTTTTGATTTTATGCTCTTCCTAGGCTTTGAACGGCTTGGATTCTTCGACTGGTTGCGCTATATGTCTAAACATCTGGTGACACTGCTGTGCGGCTGCGGCCTGCTGATCATCACCACATGCTGTAAGTTGCTATTGCTTTTTGATACATTTTTTCTTTTTAGGTTGGATTCTTTTGCGACGCTCGCCGTCCAAGAAGGGTGCCGCTAACCACAACACCACCGGGGTGTTCGCCTCGGATCGCTCGAACGCGAATGTGACCTACGGCAGCTCGCCCGGGTCTTCACCTTCAGGTGCGCTTTTAGGTTCTTCTGCATCATCGGGGAGGGGCTAATTTTTTCCTATTTTTGTTTGGCAAAAATTAATAATAATTTACCTTTGAAAAAGTAATAGACTTAGAAAATCCTTAAAAATTTTGAAAATATGAAGTGTGAAAAAATACCCACTTTCTCGCAGGATCAGAAAGTTTTGAATTTTTTTTATCAAAATTTGTGGGGTTTTTGAGGTTTAGGACGCGAGGAAAAAATGTAAAAGCTATTCATGTAGTTATATTAGAAAAATTTGTACAAGCGTTGTCCCCCGATAATACGAAAGCTCCGGCTGATCAGAAACTAATCGTTTTTAGTGAGCTACACCTGGCAAGAGAACCCGCCGCGATTCCACTCAACGCCAATCGAGACGTCATCGATGGGCCCAATCGGCTCCGGAGGCTCTCCCCAACTGTGGACCACCAGCCCGGTGCGACGCCGCGTCTAAATCCCGTTCCCTCATTTTGTTGTTGTTGCATTGTTCCCGCTCACGTTGTTATTCTAATGTTGTTGCCCTGTCGAAAACGGTGAACTCCCCCAAGTGATCTCTTTCTTTCATTCTCCATAGGCACCTCCCCCCTCCTTTGATCCTGCCCACCCATTCACTGGTATCTTCTAGCACTCCTTGTTCCGGGCATCGCCAAACGTTTCTAGGTCTTCTTTAAAATATGACAAATGCCGGTGCGTATCAATTTGGTTGTAGCCCCCGATTTCCCGTTGAAACTGGTATTGTACTCTTCCCTTCCTTCACCCACACCCCCGATTCGCTCAAAAAAACGGGTACTGGTTAGTTAGCGAGGGGGCTTGATTTTAGCAGGGAAGCTATTTTTCTAAGTTTTCCGTAGTCGAATCATCCAAGCCAGCTATTTTCATCGGATTTACGCCTTTTTAGACATAAAAAGTTTTTTAAAAACTCCAAATTTTGGAATTTTTGATTTTTGGCCAAAAATGTACGAAACTGTCAAAAAATCTGCTTGGCAATCGTAAACTGCTAAAAAGGTCCTAAGAATGCCCTATTTTTGGCACAAAAGAAATTAGGCGGAATAAAGGAGGTCAGTTGCCCACTACTACGCCCCCGCTAGCGCACCAGTACCCAAAAAACGGAGGACCGGTAAAAGTAGACGGGCGGCGGGTTTTTCGGAGGCGTTCCAGCCGGTAAACAACAACTTCCGCACGTTGCGGCACTCACGAACGCCGGGCCGACCTTGACCACTACGTGCCGCTGGCCCTCGTTCTTGCATTATCAGAAAGCGTGGCGCCCTACCCCGAAATTCGCCCCCGCCGTTATCGCCCATTGTTGCTTTGGATTTTTGCCCCGTTGCTTTCTCTATTCTTTCCCAGTTTCCTTTGGCCGATCCGCAAATAAATATTAACCAATTTGCCTGCTTGTAAATGCGTCTAACAACAACGGAATTTCCCTGCACTGATTCTGACAAGCACGACGTTGAAGGTTCTTTCTGTGAGCATCGGGATTTTTCTTTTGTTTTCAGGGATGAATCGAGGGCTTCTCTTCCGTCAGGTTGGACTTTCAAAACAAGCTTTTAGCTAGCTTCTTTAGCTCTTCGAGAAGACCTCGTCGACGTACACCTACATTCTGGGCTGCCAGAAGACGCGAGAGGCGATTATTATCGATCCGGTCAAGGAGACGGCGCCAAGGGATGCAAAGGTGTGATAATCCGACTGGGCAAAGAACGCTGATTTTGAGCGACTGGCTTATCATGCCGAAAACTAAGACATATTCGCAACAGCTTTGTACATAATATTTCCGTTGCAGTTGCTGAACGAGCTGGGCTTGTCGTTGCGATGGGCGTTGAACACCCACGTCCACGCTGATCACATTACCGGGACCGGCGCGTTGAAGCAGGTAGATTTTTGTAGGCGTGCAATTATCATCAGCTTTTAGCTCATCCCCGGGGTCAAGTCCGTCATCTATAAGGCGGGCGGAGCACGGGCTGATCATCTGATCGAGCACGGGGATGTTATTCAGGTGAGGATTAGAATATTTCGCGCATTTTTTACCAAGTAGAATTTATTTTTGCAAACAAAGTGTCAAACCGGAGCCTGGAAATTATTCTTTTTAGTTCGGCGGTGAAGAAATCGAAGTACGCGCGACTCCCGGGCATACGAACAGTCGGTTTCTACTTTTACTCGTAAAATGTACAATTTTAGGCTGCGTCACCTACGTCCACCACGGCGGCCGCATGGCTTTCACCGGCGATGCGCTGTTGATTCGTGCTTGTGGGAGGACGGATTTCCAGGAAGGTAGGTCCTTGTGAAACCGGCTTTTCTTTTTGATGAATTTTATATGAATTTACGTTTAGGCTGCCCGCAGCGTCTCTACAAATCCGTCTGGGAACAAATCCTGTCGCTGCCCGAAGATTATTCGATTTTCGTCGGCCACAACTACGAGGGAATTGAGCAGACCAGTGTTGCGGGTATTTTATAAAATTTTCTGTTTCATAAAATATATTTAGAAGAGAAAAAGTTCAACCCACGCCTAACAAAAAGCGAGGAGGAGTTTGTGCACATTATGAAGAATCTGAACCTCTCCTACCCCAAGCAAATTGGTAATTATTTTTTACGCGGCCAATTTTGTTTTTTAGATCGCGCCTTGCCCGCCAACCTGGTCGACGGAGAGCTGGAGGAGAAGCACGAGGCCTAGGCGAAATGAAGCTGTAGCAATGTATAATTTTATTCTGTACCATGCTGAAGTAATCTGTGATTTTGTGCCTTGTGTTTAGTCCATGTCCGTGATAAATTGAGGGTAATCAAAACTATTTGGATGGAAAATCACATGGCATAAGTTGAAGCTCCCTTATTTGTTGAGATTTCCGTTTTTGAAAGAAGCAAGTAGGCTCCAATTTCCGAACACCCGCCTTTCTGCGTTGTCAACAAAGGCCGGGGCGTAGCCGCTAAATAACCAATTTGATAGCGTGTTGCTGGGCGACCCCCGGGGTCGAAGAAGCGGAAATGGTTGTCGTTGCGACAGTTGACCTGGATTTTGGCTCAATAACTTTGTTTTCACGTTCCTACGAAAATTTGTTGCCGATTAATGCTCATTACAACTTTTTTTCAGAGCCTATGGCTGAGACTACATTAGAAGTAGGAGATCGAATTTTCGTCAATTTTGCCGGGGAGCCGGAACAACGCGGATTTTTACGATATTTAGGCCCGGTGGATGGGCAGAAAGGTGAATTACGCAGTTGAAAAATAATATTCGTTTCGGTTTTAGGAACCTGGTGCGGTATCGAATGGGATGACGTGACGAGGGGCAAGCACAATGGCACCGTCAACGGAAGGGATTATTTTCGGACTCGGTTAGTCGAGAACCCGACGTTTTACAACAATTTTGTATTTTCTAGAGAGCCAAAAGCCGGATCGTTTGTCAAGCGAGAGCTGGTGTCGGGCGGCAAAAATTTGTTTAGCCAGGTTGGTTGTTTATGAAAAACTCGGGCTTCTCGCTTGTTTCATAAAACTTTAATCTTGTTATTAGCTTCATTTTTTACAGATCGAAGAGCGATATGCAGTGGACGAGGACAACGAAGAAAACGAATTTATGGGTTCCCGAATGGTCGAAAAAGTTGGGATGCAGAAGGTGCATCAAAAACAAAGGTAGCCTCTTTTCTCCTATTATTGTTTTCTAAAAAAATCCTTGCAACTATACGAGCTTTTCAGGGACATCTTCCGGCTGAAAATGATCGTCCTTGATGGTATGCGAGTTGCGAAACCGCCACCCCTGTCGACACCTCTTTTTAGCTGCTGTAGCGAGCTGAATTTGCACAATAATCTCTTGCACAGGTGGGATTACTATTGGCAAAAAAATTATGTTTTTCAGATGGAAAGACGTGTTCGACATTGTCAATTACTTCCCAAACCTGAGGGAGCTGATTCTGAGGTGGGAGTTCTTCGAAAGCTGAGTTTTGAACTTTAGGCAAAACGCAATGGAAAATGTGGACCGAGTCGATGCTTTTGCCGACTACCCCGATGTAAAGGCGCCAGTTTTTCACTTGGTGCTGAATTATTGCGGTGTTTCGGAGACGACGGTAAGTGGATTTTTTCAAGAAAAAACAACATATTCTTGAAGATCACCGCTGTGTTGTCGAAATTCCCGGCCGTCACAGATCTGTACGCCAGCGGCAATTGCTTGACTTCATTCAACCCGGGAGGTTGTGGGAAAAATTTGAGGTATATCAACTCATCAGGAATTACCAAAAAGTTTCAGGCTCGTCGACCTCGAGCACAATCCGATCACCAGCTTCGCTTCGATCGACTCGGCAAACGCGATTACTGGGTAGTTTCGATAAATTTTTGTTATTTGTCCTTTTTAGGCTCGATTCCTTGAGCTTGATGAATTGCCGCGTTTCGGAGGTTGCGCTTTCCGGACGATTTCCAAACCTGAAAACGCTGTATTTGAAGGGAATCCGTTGAACGAGGTTCGTTCTATATAATTTTTAGCAAATATTAAATGATTTTCACAAAAATTGCTATTTTCATCAACGTTTTTAGTGGTCTGCTATCAACGCGTTATCCTCTCTCAAATCTCTCTCGACCCTCTTCATTAGCTCCGCGAATTTTACGGCGGAAAATGGCATGGATGTGCGAGAGGTCGACTTCAGTTTTCGACAACTAATTAATTTGCTAACTTCAGGTCCTCATCGCCAAATTGCCAACGATAACGATGTTGAATCGAGGTGACGTGAGTGTCGTTGAGCGGCGATCCGCTGAAATGAGGTTTTTAAACGTTTGAAGCTTGATATTCCGATTCAGATTCGTCAATCGCTACAGCCAACTCGCAGAAGCTTTGAAGGCACCTCACGAAGCCGACCTCAAGCGACTTATAGCTGTAGGTTTCTTAGAAAGTGTCATTTTCTGCTTTTTTAGATTCACGGCGAGCCGATCAAGGAAACCGTCAAGAAAGGAATTTCGGTGATACGCGTGAAATTGATCTACGAGGGTAAAATGGTGGAACGGCCAGTCCCGGCGTCGATCACGGTATTGTAGCCTTTACATCTGAAAAATTTTTTGATTTCGTCTAGGTTGCAAAACTACAAGAAATCGCGGCGCGCGTATTTTCGCTTGACCCCTCCGGGGTGACGTTGTTTGTGGAAAAGGAGGTTTGCCGGATTTAGCTATTCTCATAAAGTTCTACTTTTTAGGGCCGAACCCCTGACGAGCTATCGATTCTGGCCCGACAACTCTCCTTCTACTCCATCGAGGCCGGCGACACGATACGGATTGATGCCTGATTTTGCCCATTTTTAATTTATTCAAGTTTCTGTGATTTGTACCGCATTCTTTTTCTTTGCTAGTCTGTGATTTTTCGGGTATGTGCTGAGATTCTGTTAATAATAATGATATTGAGCTTAATAAACGTGCTAAACTTCGATTTTGTTATTCTGACATTGGTAAAAATCCATTTCAAGAAATACAACGTTCCGAAGGTGGTTAATATGATAAGAAAACCTGTTTAGTTCGAAAGCTCGAACTCAAACATGCCGGAAAGTGACAGCGACGTAGAAGTGATTGCTGGCTCGTCGTCAAGCCCCGGGTCTGCATCGGAGCGTCGTGGCCCGCAAGTCACAGCCCCCGTTTCAGCAGAAGAAGCCCCAAAGCCGCGCGTCATCTACGAGTACATTGTCAGATGCTGTAAGTTTTCAAAATTGATAAAATACGTTTTTCTTCTACTTTCATCTGTTTTCCTTTTGTCTTTTAAGATATCTTTTCTAGGCGTCCGGTTAGAAGCGCTAAATCGAACATGCTGCGCCGCCATCCGTTTGATGCATAGACTCTATGAAAGGAAGATTGTCAAGTTTATCTGTAACTATGTAAGTGTCTTTTTGTCTGCTCTTACCTTGACTTGGCAAGTTTATATTACTTTTTCTTAATCTATGGGCTATACGTTACAAATTATATTCTGACCAGTGGAAAAAGACCGCTTCGCGGCCCTTTTCCACTGGCCTCGTCTAGGAACCATATATTCCCCTTCCGTTTTTCAAAGCCTGCGGCGCAATAGCCCGACTCTAGGAACCATTCTCTGGCCTGCGGCGCTAGCTACTGGTTTTCTCCAGCATTTGGCCTGCGGCGCTAGAGCCCGGGCCAAGAACCTTTTCCTTGCCTGCGGCGCTAGAGCGAGGGACTGGCCGAAATTTCGGATACCGGGAGCCTGGAAATATGTTTTGTTGTTGAACAATCAAAAAGCAAAAAGGCACGTTAGCCGAGGATCCGAACCCTCGACTATACGCACGGTAGAGCGGGCGTCAAGCCACTATACCAAAGGCGGCATCGACACGGGTGGCGGGAAAGGCCCCTTCTGTCCTGGGGGCGGCGTTCAACCCGGCAGGGACGACTGCTGGTAACTTTACAAAAATCGCTATTTTAGACTGATTGCGCAAAAAATTTGTAAAGATGATAAGATGCGCGTGATCCCCACTATCGTATACATAAGTGTTCCAAATTACAGACCGAAATTCCATCTGGGCATTGAGTTATGCCCCGAACACCACTGCTCGTCGCCCAATTTGTTAAGGATTTTCACCATTTTGTTTGTAAAATCGTTAAATCAAGGAATTTCGAAAAACAAAAAAATGCGTGTCTGGCAAATGTGTTTCTCCACCTCCATGCCAAAAATCAGCCGGAAATTCGGTCTGAGGGCCGAGAAATCGGCTGCACAGAAAACACACATTTCTCGCTTATAGGATAGGATTTTTAGTCCCTCGCCACAGCCTGCATCATGGTGGCCGCGAAAAGCGAGGAGGACTCTGGGATTCGAATCAGGGACGTCGTCAATGTTTCGCACAGGATTCTTCACCCGGAAAAGCCGCCCATCGAAGTCGACGACTCGTTTTGGACCTTACGGTTTTTAGAATGCTCATTTTTCATTAAGTTTTAGGCGTTCGCTCGGCCGGCTAGAATTTGTCGTGCTTCGCGAGCTCTCCTTCGATACGTACATGACACATCCACATCAGGTAAATTTTGAAAGCATTCTTATAAAGTTACTTCCGATTTCTTATTTTTTTAGTTAGTACACCTTTGATTTTCAGCTCTTAACGCTCTACCTTGACTTGCTCGCCTCCTGGATGCCGGAGGAGTTTGAAAAGTAAGATTTCTGGCTCTTCTTTTAGAAACTTTTTTAGGTTCGACATCCGAGAACAAGCGTTCGCCATTCTCCGTGACTGCCACATCGTTCCCGAGTTTGTGCTGGAGCACTCGCACGAGAGTCTGGCGCTTGTGGTAATTTTTATCCTTAAAAATTCATACTCATTTTCAGGCGCTCTCGCTCGTGCTGAAGGGCCACGATCTGTACGTGCCGAATTGCCGCGATTTCTATACGGTAGATCTACTTTTACAACCCTAAAAAGATTTGTTTAGGTTTTCTCAAAGCACATGAGCGAGCGGAAATTGCGGCACCTAGAAGAGGAGGTTCTTCAAGACGTCTACGGGCAACGGCTAAAATGACTGGTCTATTTTGTTTCCCATTTTCTGTTATTGTATCCATTGTTATTTTATGCTCAACACTTGATGAAGATATTTATCGCAACCATGATTCCGCATTCGATTAATTTCAACTTTCTAATGGCAGTTATTCTTTTTCTTCTGGCGCGCCCTCCTCAGCGGTCGCTTCCGCGCTTGTGGAAAGTTGAACGCTGGGCGCTTCCAGGGCCTTGGCTTCCTGGTAGGCGGTTAGGAGCTTCTGAAAAGTATTCTACTTCCGCTCACTATGGTTTCATCACCTCTTCGAAGGCTCTGTCGAACTCGCGCTCATTCCGCTGGCGTTGCATCAGAATCAGCGCGGTGAGCACGTGGCCGACCAGCCAGATGCCGACGGCCAAATAGAGCAGCGGATCTGGAAGTTTGGCTTGTTTTTCGGAAGTATGCTGTAAAGCGACCCCCGAAAATTTCATCGTCGTCGTTGTCGGCCGCGTCATCGTCGGCAAACGCGCGTATCTCTTCGCGATCCTCCTCGGTGAAGTCCTCCTCGGCGAGCAACACCATCGGGTTGAACAGCTCATCTGGCTCGTCCTAGGAGTTATTTAACAGAAACCGCATTGTTGCAACAAATGTTTCAGGCTAAGATTTTAGCTGAAAACAAGCTTCAGAGGCTTCGCAATAGGATAGCTGGTTACCGGAGGAGCTTGAACTGCTCCAGAGTAGAAGACCAGCGAGACCAGCACAACCACCCTCAATAAAATCATATCTGCGAATGAAAAATTTCGCGCACAATCCCCATTCAAATGTATTTCCCGAAAAAGTTGTGCATTTCGACCAAATTTTCCGAAACGTTTATCAATTCCAACCAAAGTAACAACAAGTAACAACCTGGTAACAATTTTAACAATGTGAATTATCAATTTTGCCCTTTTTAATTATTCTTCCTCCTCGTCGTCGGCCTTCTTGGACTTCCTCTTCTTCTTCGGCTTCTCCTCCAGCGCCACGTTTTCCATCTCCTCGTCCGCGCCAGCAACGGCGCTCTTCTTCTTTTTCTTCGGCGCCGGCTCGTCGGCTTCTTCCTATAAATAAAAATGTATTGCGAAACAAAAGGAAAACCGACCTCAGCAGTCTCATCCAAAATCTTCTTTGCTTTCTTGGCGGCCTTCTTCCTCTTCTTGAGAACCTTGGTGCGGGTGCCTACTGCTTCTTCTTCAGCTGCCTTCATCACGTCAATGTTTTTGGCGGGGACCTCTCCAGTCTCGAAGTAACGGAGTCGCTCTTCAACTTGTGCGCGCAAGTGTTCTCCGAAAGTTTCGACGGGAACCTCGGAGAAGCAATCAATGCGGGATGCCATTGTGCACTTGTTGGCCAGGAATCGCGAGATGCGACCCTTGTTCTTGGCGGCGGCGCGTCCGATGAAGGGTGAGTGGAACAGCAGTCCGTACTTGGGCGTGTTGCTCCGCGTCTTGAGGGCTCGGAACAGCGCCTTCTCTGCACCGAGGATTTGAATAGTTGAGGCGGGGAACTTGGCGAGGTTTGTTAGAGATCCGGCATGTGAGATCAGACGAGCACCGACCTAAACAAGTAAGTTGATGCATACACGAGATCGGGACAAGGGCAAAAGTAACAACGAAATTACACGGACCTGCTCGCCTACGAGGGCCGAAAGTGACGGAGCGCAGCTGTGCATACGGTCCTTGATATATCCGTGGAGACGCTGACGGTACTCGGTAAGTGATGCGACACGGGCAGCGAATCTATAGCAAATGTAAAAACTTAGAAAGCTTGTGGCTACCTTTCAATGTTCATCAGATCCAGATCGGAAATGTCCATGCCCATAGATGTGCGAGCAGCCTCGACGATTTCAGCAACCTTCTCTTCATCTTCGATGATTTCTAAACAAAAAGTATGAAGCTGGGTTCGGTAAATATACCCAGCAACTTCGCGGGTAGCTCCGCGTCTTCTGAAGACTTGTTGCGATCGAGGATGGCGACGGCGCACCGCACATATTTGTATTGGTCGCCGACGATCTTGTAGAGCTCTGGGTAGTGGTACGAGTACCACTCGCGGATGCGCATTCCGAAGAGGTTGATGTCCTTGTCGAGCTGGTCGAGCAAGGCAATGGATTGGATGACCATGTTGTCGACACGGTGAACGTCGAATTTGACATAAAAGAGTGATATTCTAGAATCATGCATAAATAATTACCTTTCCACGCGAATAAGAGTGACCAAGCGAGAGTTGAGCCTTGGACAGCGAGTGATGGGGCAGCTTCTTGGCAAGCGTCTCAAAGTGAACACGGATGCCGCGGAGGATCTCGGTGATGAGATTTCCGAAGGTCGGCTTCAATTCCGGGAACGACTCCACCAATGAGCTGGCCAGCTTTCCGTCGTTGACACCGATGATGACCTTCTAAACGAAAGATCATGCAAGAAATAAGGTGAATAAATTACCTTCTTCTTTTGCGGGAGATTCTGCTGGAGGAAGTTGATCAAATCGGCATGGGCAACACCCTCGGAAATCGAGTTGCAGTTCTCGAGGGCAGACTCGGTGTTCTTGAATGGATCGAATGCGATCAGGTTGACGATGTTGGAGAATTTCGACACATCACCGATGGAGTCATTGACCTAAAGGAAATAATTAGCAGTGGCAACGTGCTCGAAACCCTTGATAAAAACGCGGTCACATACGGCGAAACCAAATATTTCCCGCTGGCAAATATGGGTCCAGAAAAAGAAAAAATCTCACCTGCGGAAGAATGTTACCGGCATCCTCAAATTCCTTGACTTTGAAGAGAGCGTAACCAACGGCGTGCTCGTAGAGCACGAAATGCGGCACCTCCGCCATGACGAGCGGTTCGGATCACCTGAAATTCACGAATGCGATGACCGTCTCGGGTATAATCCCACGAGAAACGGCATCGGATCCTTGATTCTGATCATCGGGACGAGTCCCTCATAGAAACGTGCGCTTGCGGCACGTCTCGGCGGACTTCGTACATGAATGAAACCAGGAAATGGTTTCAGAAACGGACTCATTCACAGAGTTTGGCATTTTTGGTGAAGAGAATGTGAGAAAAACGCCGAGGTCGAGGCACGAGGGGAAAAACTACCGTAGCGGGACGGTGTTGGCGGTTTGCCAGCGACTAGAAACTACAGAGATTCGAGTCGCTGATAAAAGCCTTGCTAAGAAATAAAGAAATTGCCTTGTAAAATGAAATAAAAATAGAAATTTATCATGATTTTTGAAGAAATAGATAGCGCTAAATAGCATGTATAGTGCTTTCGATTTTTTGGGCTCGGCGTCAAAAATATCATAGAGAAAATAGAGGAGAAAATGGCTGGCCAAAGTTTTGCTAAGAAAGAAACAAAGTTTTTTTAGTAAAAGAAAATATAAATCGCTTATCATGATTTTTCAATACATAGATAATAGAGAGATGAATAGAAATACATAGCTTGTTCAGGAAAATCCTGGAGATCAAACTTGTGGTAAGGTGAAATTAGTCAAATTTGTCGGAAAAGTTTCCTTTTTCCTATTCGTCTCGTTTTCCAAATATTCATTTTACAGGGTATGTCGGCACTTCGCAACATCAACGGGCTGAAGGCCATCGTCAGTGGCGGCGCCTCGGGTCTGGGATTTGGCGCTGCAAAAGTGCTCGCTAGTCAAGGTAAAGTTCTTTGCGTTTCCCAAAAACCCTTTGAGGAGCGAAAGTCGCCATCCTTGATCTCCCCACATCGAAGGGAAACGACGTGGCCAAAGAGCTGGGCAGCAACGTCATCTTCGCCCCGGTCGACATCTCCAAGGAGGAGCAAGTGAAGACCGCCTTCGACACGGTCAAGGAGAAATTCGGAGGGTAGGTTGTGACGTTAGATTATGAATTCGCGAGTTTAGATGCGATGCAGTGGTGAATTGCGCCGGAATCGCGCACGCCTACAAGCTCTACTCGGTAAAGAAGCAAAAGATGGCGGAATTCGATAAGACGAGAAAAACGATTGAGGTGCTTTTTCTCAAAAAAGATGTGAATTTCGTTTTAGGTGAACGTGCTCGGCAGCTTCCATATGGCTCGTTACGCGGTGGCACTCATCGGCGAGAACAAGGCCGACGAGCACAACCAACGAGGCGTTTTCATCAACACCGCATCGGTCGCCGCTTTTGACGGACAAATTGGGCAGGTTTGTGTTTTCAAAAAAGCTTGAATTCTTCTTTCTACAAATGCTCGTGTTTAGGAGATATTCAGTTTTATGATCTGATCTAGCCGATTAGATGGATCTTGAAATTTTGCAACTAACGAAAAGGCAAAACCGACCGATTTTTCTTGTTTTCAGTCCGCCTACTCGGCCTCAAAAGGAGCCATCGTCTCGATGACTCTACCATTGGCGAGGGACCACGCCGAGGACGGAATCCGCTTCATGACGATCGCCCCCGGGCTGTTCAACACCCCGCTACTCGCCGGGCTCCCGGAGAAGGTCAAGAAGTTCCTCTCCCAGCTCGTGCCGAACCCCTCGCGAATGGGCGAGCCAGAGGAGTACGGGGCGCTGGTGAAGCATATCATCGAAAACAGGCGAGTTATTGCATATCCTTTCAACTTTTTAAGTATTAAAAATAGTCGATTTTGTTTCACTATTATTTTTGACTTTTAGGTATCTCAACGGAGAAGTCATCCGGCTGGACGGCGCCCTACGCATGCCGCCGTAAAAGCGCCGGGATTCGACGACAACCCTAGAAGCATTTATCGGATATTCGTGTTTCATTTTCCAGTTTTAATAAATATTGTCTTAGCTTTTCGATACGACATAACGATTTTTAAGGCACTTTTCGTGCAAGTTCTAGTGGTGGCTCCCTGGGGTGGGTTATATGCCCGGGCGTGAGGAGACTGGCGCGAAAGGACGCTGTTCAAGCGGGCTGGCATTCAAATTGGGGCCTTGAGGTCATAAAGTGCCAGCCAGTGACCGGTTGCCGTTTCTTATGGTAGAGTTACGAAACAGAATTTGCAGTCTTGAGGCTAAACGCCGGTTTGCACCCGAGGTGCCTTTTAGAATACGCCAGTGTACAAAGGGCTGCGCGCCGGTTACGGTAGGACAGTCGACCTGCTCTATTTTCCTTTTCATTTTCCATTTCCTACTTTTCTAGCAATTATCCGGCGTCTGGCTGCCTCGCGGTAAGCATTCGCAAGTTTTTCATCTTATTTTGACCTATTATTCTTATTTATCTTTTCCGATTTTCCAATTGCACTTGGTAGTATTCAAGTTGGCGCGAACCACTAAGTTGTTTTTGGCCCTATTTTCTTAACCCATTGTTTTTGGTTTACCAGATCTTTGTACTTAGATCGGTTTGTAGAACTTAGGATTAGTTTCGTATTATCCTTGCGCGCTAGGACACTTGGTTCACCCCCTTCCCACTGGCGCCCACCTTTCTTATCTAAAATGGCCCCACCAAATTCATATTTTTTCAATTTCCTTTCGGCTTCCTCTTTTTTATATCAGCTTTTTCAGGTGGTGATGGCACAGCCTCACTTTTCGCTAGATGACTTCCAGAAGTTGGAGAAGATCGGCGAAGGCACTTATGGAGTCGTCTACAAGGGGCGCAACAAGAAGACCAACCAGACGGTCGCCATGAAGAAAATCCGGCTCGAGGTTTGTCGCCCTCTTTTGCCCCTATTTACGTTTGATTTTAGGCAGAAGACGAAGGCGTGCCCTCGACGGCCATCCGCGAGATCTCGCTACTCAAGGAGCTGAAGCACCCGAACGTCGTCGCACTGGAGGACGTGATCATGCAGGTACATTTTGCCAACATTACTTTTATTTTGGTTTAGGAAAACCGCCTGTACTTGATCTTCGAATTCCTCTCGATGGACCTCAAGAAGTTCCTCGACCAGCTGCCCGCACGAACAATGCTCGACGCTGTGACGATGCAAAGCTACATGTTCCAGATCTTGCAGGCCATGTGCTTCTGCCATCAGGTATATATTTGCTATTATATTCACTACTAATCTCTCAATTTAGCGCCGTGTCATCCACAGAGATCTGAAGCCACAAAATCTGTTGGTCGACGGAAAAGGAGGAATAAAGCTCGCCGACTTTGGGCTGGCCCGCGCTATCGGAATCCCGGTGCGCATCTACACACACGAGGTAAGAATTGTTTCTTTTTCAAAACTGGCTTTCAGGTCGTAACACTATGGTACAGGGCCCCCGAAGTGCTACTCGGCAGCAAGCGTTACTCGATGGGCGTCGACATGTGGAGCATCGCGTGTATCTTCGCTGAGGTATCGAATAGTTTTTGAGAAAAGTATAACGCTTTTTAGATGGCCACAAAGAAGCCCCTGTTCCAAGGCGACTCGGAGATCGACGAACTCTTCCGCATATTCCGCATCATGGGCACGCCGACCGAGGAGGAATGGAAGGGTGTCTCGCAGCTCGACGACTTCAAGGCCACCTTCCCCAAGTGGAAGTACAGCGGCGGACTCGAAGACACGCTCAGCAAGCATCTCAACAAAGAGGGTCTCCATTTGCTCCGGGTATGTGATTGTGTTTTTTTTGTTTGGTCCAACTTTCGTTTTCATATTTATTTATTCTTTTCTTTTAGGAAATGCTCATCTACGACCCGTCGCTGCGCATCTCATCGAAGCGTGCCCTGCAACACCCCTACTTTGACGACATTGACTCGAACATGCTGCCCGCTGGAAACTACCGCGGTGAATTGATCCTGAATTAAGGCCTGTGTGTACATTGCTTTTTCTGATTATCCTTACATTATCGATAAATATTCTCCACTATCGGAACCATTGGCCAGGAAGGGGAAGTGGCGGGGCGGAAGACGCGTGAGCGCGCATTTGGAAAGAGTGAGCCGTGAAACTGCGTTCTGCCATACAAATGTGGGAGAGCATCTATGGGAACTACGAGGACGCATGGGGTGTTTGATTGGAAATTCGGCAGCAGGTTGACGTTGGAGATTAGTTGAATGGAAGTTGAGTTGAGTGGCGCGACGGTGTTGTTCTTATTGTTGGAAACCAGGCAATCATCTTGAACCGTGTAGGAGACGCTGCTTGCCGAGTTCCTGGCCGAGTCGACGAGCAGCTCTTCCTGGGAGCTAATGCTGGATCTCTGAAAAGTCATTTGGACGTTATTTTACTTTTTGATTTAGATACCTCTCGATCGCCATCGCATCGGCGCTTATTTTGGAAGATGGCAACGGCTACAGCGACAAAGAAAATGATCGGAAACAGCTGATGGAGGAGGAGGATCTGCAAGGTCTTTTTACAAGCGGGCTTGCTTTGAACCAACAGTTCGCCCCTTGGCCCGCGCTTCTTTCGCCACCAAAGATGGCTCAATCGTCGGCTCGGACGGATCGAAGAAGAAGCCCATTCTCGCATATGAATAGTAGACAGTCTTATGCTGGAAGTGCTCGGCCAACCTTCCGAAGCAGCCGACTAAACGAACCGTTGAATTTATGCGTAAGTTTCTGCAGGCTTGAATGAGGGTTCACCCACCTCTGCTGTACACCCAGACGAGGTTGGTGATGCACGCCGAGTAGCTGGCCCAGAGAAACCCATGGAAGTGGCGCGGCTTTCGGCGGTGGACCCAGAGAAAAGTTGCGCCCTAAAACAGTCCCGTTTACCAAATTATAGTGACGAGAAGCTTTAGTTTTCCAATTTAGCTTTAACACTCACCAAAGCCACAAGTAAAATTATGCCGATCGATGAGCCGAGCGACACCAGATGAGCCAAGATAAACAGCAGCGAGATGAGCAGCTTCGGTGGCTCGCCATCTATAAGGCTTGTTATATGCAAAACTCCAGTTTTTTCTAGAGTTCTAATTCTGGATAGCCAAACCTTGTTGTTCAGAAATCGTGGCGACGGCCCCGATTGAGCAGAGAAGTGAAAGTAGCAAGCTTGTGGCGTAGAAAGCACTAAATTCGAAGTAATGTGTAAATTCTAAGAAACCAACTGTGCCGTCGACTTCCGCGTTTTCCAGATTGCAAATCGGAGCATCAGGCACGAGGCGAGCGGATGGAAAATTGCAATCGAGGCGTAGAGCACGAATTCGGGCCAGAAAATAAACGCAGACCTGCAATTTTTACCATATTTTGAGCCACTCCAGGCGGATAGCTTCTCGAACTCCATTTATTGTGCTCACTTACCCAATATACTCGCGGATAACGACGCTCAGCAGTGTGTCGATACCGCGCAGTAGCGTGTTGATGCTGAGCAACGCTGAAAAGCTTTAGAGGTAAGGTAAATATGTGATACCGGCCATATATACGGCAAAAATCCACAACGGCGAGTTTAGATTCCGTCTCCAAATGAGGAGACACCAAAACAGAACGGAAGCCAACGTCTCGGCGATCACTGTAGCACCGCAAAGTTCACCTGAAATATGGCGATAAGAAGTGCATATTCATAAACCGTGGCCGGATCCAAAATAAAGCACTCACCAACGGTAAGGCTGAGCCTCAAAGCGTTGTAGTCGCCCCAGTCGCGATCTCGTGAAAACACGTCGAGTATATCCATTTCGCGTTCGTAAAGTTGAAGCGCTCGTGCCGGTAGCAGCTCAAACCCGAGTTCTGGGTCGTATTCAACCGAACCCGCTTTATATACCCGAATCCAAAATCACCAGGTCGACGGGCCGTCGACCCAGCTGCAAATGCAAGTCTTTTTCAGGAATTTAATAGCAGGTCAGCAGCGCAAATGACCGGTCTGCTGGCCCGCTTGGCCGTCATTCGCCCCGTTGCCAGGGTCCCGCGCCGCAACAGAACCCATATAGCTTACAATTAGTACAGATGAAGCCCGGCGCTTCCGCCCAAAAAAACGACAAAGTTTGGTGCCCCGGCTAAAAACGCTGACGTGAGCAGTCAACCTAAGCAAACCTTGCCCATATGCCCTGAAAATATATACTGCAGTGCCTCAATCAATTTTTGTCGAACTTTATGGAAAACGGGCAACAGAAAATAGAACGGCTTGCCGAAAGCAAGCTAGAACAACTCATGCGAATTTGGAGGAAAACGAGGGGAACAAGTCAAGGCAATCGGGATAAACGTACAAATTGGGAAGGGCATGTGATGTCAAAGTAGCTGGATGCGATTGGCGCGTTCGGACTAGGCTTCCTTGTGGGGGAAGAGCACCTCCGTGGTCGGGTTCCGGATCACGTAGTCACCGGCCTAAACGGGAAAGTTTCTGCGGGTAAATGAATTTCTTACCGGCGTGTCTTCGACGGTACAACCGGTGCGTGGGGGTCGGCGCTCCATGAAGCTGATTGATTGTGATCTAAATTGAAAGTTGACAACCAACAAAACTAGATTACCTCTTCTGGGCGTTGGTCCTTGCCCTCAGCTGCGCGATTTTACGGGCCATCACTAAAGACAATACATAAAAAGTTATAAAAGGAGGTTTACGGTGTTGGCGCTCCATCAGCAGGTCGTAGTACTTCTGGTCAAGGTAGAGTGACGGGTGCGTCAGGGTCTCATCGTCCCCTACCAAGAAAATGTTGCAAACGGTCAAATTCATACAGCGGAAACGTTTGCGGAGCTTCGGAAGCCGCGGCAGCCCATGGCGCTCTTGGTACTTGTGATAGGCCAGCGTGTTGATCATGTTTCTTTCGGGCTCCCACGAGTTCGAGTTGACATCATAGCCTTCCCAAGATACCTAAAAAAGCGTTAGTATTCCAAAAAGCTTCGCCTACGCGGAATAAATATGGGCAGTGCACAGCTTTGTCGAATGTTTCGGGCGCGAAGATTTTCCATGGCGCGTTCATGGCCTTGTAGATGCCCCGGCGGTAGTTCATGTGCGAAATCCAGGCGTCCTCGAATCTAAAAGAAATTGATAAATAGAAATCAAAAGCCATACCTGATGTAGTTGAGGATTTCTTTTACATCGTACTCCGGTTCGTCCTCCACTTCGTCAACTTGCTTCTTTTTGGATCTTGCCATTCCGCTAAATTGAAAAATTAGAACAGATAATAATAGGGAGTTAATCAAGTGTTTCGAAAACAGTATTCTAGTCACTTTAATAAAGCAAATTTAGTAAAAAAAGAAGTTGCGGACAGAACATGGGGGAAAGTAAGAATAACGGCTGAGAAGTTAGGTCCTGCAGCGACGAATGGGGCCAAAAATGCGGCCAGGCCAGCCAAAAGGCGATCAACTATCATCATCAATCAACTATAATAATTTTGTTTGGGATTCGGATAGAGCGTGGTCAGAAACCCCCAGGCTGATCAAGATCAGAATTTAAATGGTTCATTTTCATATTTAAAAATCTATCTTAAAATACACTACGGCATTTGTGGCGGCAACACGGAGCTCCTTTCTACGTCGTGACAGTGTGAGGAGATAGCGACCGTAGCAACCGAAAATTCGCGCGTTCTTCTTTCTTTCCCAATTTTTTTTCGTTTTTAGGGTCTCTAGGCGTATTTTTTCTTTTTAATTTTTATTTTCTAATCATTTTTGTTATAGAAGATGGAAGCAAAGCAAACATTCTTCGACGAGGCGATGGCGTTAAGGAGACTCTGGCATCGCTTCGGTCAGTTTTTGAATGACCGTTTCCCGACTTTTTCTTTCTCTTATGAAGTTTTTTTGTTTAGGAGGCGAAACGGGCCTCCATCGGCACTTCCTTTCGTCCTGGCCAAAGGACCCGCAGATCGAGCCGCTACGTGCCAATGAAGTCTCCCGATTTGTACACACCCGACTAGGACACGAGCGCGAACGTCTGCTTGGCCCCCTCGTCATTCGCTGGTTGGAGAATATCACCCACAAGGACCTTGAGGACGTCGCCAACCGGATGCGCGTGTCCTCGATCGAGATGACCGCCGTGGCCAACGTATAATTTCTCAGAATTTTATCAAATTCCTTATTCTTCAGTCGGGTCACCCCTCCTCGTCGACCTCGGCGGCGGAGCTGATGGCGACGCTGTTTTTTCACGAGATGCGCTACGACGTCAAGAACCCGAGGAGCGAGCACGCCGACCGCTTCATCCTCTCCAAGGTTTGAGTTCCTTTTCTGCTCAACTTTTTTTTCGTTTAGGGTCACGCCTGCCCCATCTTGTACGCTGCCTGGGAGGAGGCCGGCCTCCTGTCGCACGACGATGTGCTGACGCTGCGCAAGATCAACTCGGACCTCGAGGGACACCCAACTCCGGTAATTTAGTTGTTACTTTTATGTACTTTTGTATTTCAGCGCCTCAACTTCATCGATGTCGCCACGGGTTCGCTCGGCCAGGGCCTCTCCTGCGCCGCTGGCATGGCCTACACCGGAAAATACATCGACAAGGCCTCGTACCGGTATCCACTTGCTCTATGTTCTAAAATTATTCCTTTTTAGCGTCTTCTGCCTGCTGGGAGACGGGGAATCGGCCGAGGGCGCCGTTTGGGAAGCTGCTTGTAAGCCCGGCCTTCGAAATCTTACATTTTCTTGTTTAGCTTTCGCCTCTCACTACAAGCTCGACAACCTGGTCGCCATCGTGGACGTGAACCGTCTCGGGCAGTCGCAGGCCACCCAGCTCGGCCACCACGTCGAAATTTACCGAGATCGGTCAGTTTAAATTTTCGGCTATGGACTTTTTTGAGTAAAAAAATTGCATTTTTCGTTTTAGTTTCGCCGCCTTCGGCTTCGAGACAATCGTCATCGACGGGCACAACATCGAACAGATCGCCGCGGCCCTCAAGACGGCGCGCGACATCAAGGACAAGCCGACGGCCATCATCGCCAAGACGCACAAGGGCCAGGGCATCGATGGGGTCGCCGATCAGGACAACTGGCACGGAAAGCCGGTGCCGATCGAGAAGGTTGAAGCTATCAAGGCCCGCTACCACGGATCGCGCAAGGGCGACGTCGAGCCGAAGAAGCCGATCGAGGACGCCCCGAAGGTAAAATTTTAGGTTTTGCAAATATCGTTTTTATAGGTTGACCTCCACATCGGCTCCATCAAGATGAGCGACCCGCCGGCGTACACCAAGGGCGACAAGGTGGCAACCCGCGCGGCATACGGGACGGCTCTGGCGAAGCTCGGCAAGGCCAACCCGCGCGTCATCGGTCTCGACGGTGACACGAAAAACTCGACTTTCTCGGAGAAGCTGCTGAAGGAGAAGCCCGACCAGTTCATCGAGTGCTTCATTGCCGAGCAGGTAATGCTTATGATTTGTACTTGGAGTCTTGATTTTCTGTGACTTTGATAGCTTCCTTTTTCAGAACCTCGTCGGTGTCGCCGTCGGAGCCCAGTGCCGTGGCCGCACCATCCCGTTCACCTCCACGTTCGCCGCCTTCTTCACCCGTGCCGCCGACCAGCTGCGCATGGCCGCCGTGTCGTTCGCCAACCTGAAGTGCACCGGCTCGCACGTCGGCGTGTCGATCGGAGAGGATGGACCCTCACAAATGGCCCTGGAGGTAGTTCTTGCTAGCTCACTCAGAATTGTGTTTTAGGACCTGGCCTTGTTCCGCGCCATTCCCGACTCGACCGTCTTCTACCCAACCGACGCCGTCAGCGCCGAGCGTGCCACCGAGATGGCCGCCAACATTCAAGGTGCAAGCTCGCACTTTTTTTATTATTATCGTCGTTTAGGCATCGTCTTCATCCGCACTGGACGCCCGGCGCTCCCCGTACTCTATGCCAACGATGAAAAGTTTGAGGTTTGTTACTACTTGGTTCTCGGATTAGTTTTTAGGCTGGCAAGGCCAAAGTGCTGCGCGAGAACGTGAAGGATTCGATCGTGCTCGTCGGCGCTGGAGTGACGCTGTACGAGTGCTTGAAGGTATTTTTTCTTAAATTTTCAACAATTTTCTTTCCTAGGCTGCCGACGAGCTGGAGAAGTCGGGCGTGCACGCGTGCGTCATCGACCCGTTCACCATCAAGCCGATCGACGGGGAAACTATTGTCAAGCACGTGAGTTTTATCTTTCTGTTTCATTTATTATTCTTCTAGGCCAAGCGCACCGGAGGCAAGGTCGTGACCGTTGAGGACCACTTCGCGGCGGGCGGCATTGGGGAAACGGTCAGTTTTCCTTTTCCAGGCTTATTTCCTTTTTTAGGTCTCTGCCGCCGTTTCTGATGCCGGCATCCGCGTGCGCTCGTTGCACGTCTCTGGCGTGCCCCGCTCCGGACCGCCAGATGACCTCGTCGACATGTTCGGCATCTCGGCCCGCCACATCGTCGAAGCCGTCAAGAAATTCCACTAAATCTGATAGTATTTATTCTTCCCCCGATTTGTGCCGGCAATTGCCTTTTGTAGTGATACTATCATCACGTCGTTGTGATCATAACATGTTGTGATCTAGAGTAAAGTTCTTTGCCTCTGCTGCGACTGCTTGAATTCTCCAACGAACACGTCTGGATGACCGTATTCACACATTACACTTCGAGATGGTTCTAGTATGACGCTTGGGTCGTGGAGTCTGGCGAGTTTCTTGATCTTCACGAGATTTACTACTATAACACACGGCGGTCCCTTGCTTTACGACTCTGCGCGGCCATATGCGGTCAAAGGAGATGCGTGTGAGCAGATGGGACGAGTTCCACGCTCGACGAAGCTATAAAAGTATTCCGACTTGGCGAAATCACAGACTGTAACGGAATCGGGATGTACGGGCTCATCATCTTCTCACTGTGCGCTGGGGCGGCTGTTTTCGCGGCTGATGCCGCTATTGATGTTTCGCCTGGCGTTCGTTTTAAGAGAAAATGAGTTATATTTATTAAAGGTTAGAGCATAACGAGGTTATCAAGCTTAAGAATACACATATTGCTTTTGCTTTTTAGCAAAAACTGATCAGCAACTGGCGCGGTTCTCTGACCAGCGACAACCACGAACAACTCGTCGGAATTCTTAACGGCAAGGGCTCGATCAATGACAAGCTGGACAAGCTGGAGAAGCTTGCTGAGTCTGATGCGTCAAAGGTAGCGATATAAAAACTGATGAACATTTATACTAAAGCTTATAGAATAGCGGACAAAGCCTGTTTTTTTTTCAGAAGAAGTTCTTCGAAGCCAAGTCGGCCATCAACGGCAAGCTCACCGAGGCCAACAAGATTGTAAGTTCGGTGGGCTCGAGATGAAAATGACGATTTCAGGAGACTAGCCTCTCCGATTCGGACAAGGCCCTGCTCGCCTCATTCCGCACCGCCGAGGTGAAGCGCAACGAGGTGACGGCCGGCGCCAAGAAGGACATCCTCGCCAAGGTATTTTTCAGCACGAAATTTTTTCGTGAATGAAATGTTAATCGCAGTAGTACATCAATTTTTTTAGCTGAAGCACATCGTCTACCCGCTCAGCGCCGATGACGTGGGTTTATTTCGGTTCAAGCGAGCCGGATTTCCGGTTAAATTTTACATATAATTAAAGTCTTAATGAGCGCAAGTTAAACTCAACTTTGTAGCGTGGGAAAGTTAGTAATTTTATGGTATAACTGGCAATTTTAGAGAAGGCTATGACATCCTGCTAGTATAAAATGACTATTTATATTTTAGAGTACTTCTCATTCAATTAAGCCATCTATCTGTAGACTTTGTTATATCAATTAAACGCGAATAACTCGTAAAGCTTTTTTAATCACTAAATCCATTTTAGAACGGTGAGAACGCCGCCAAGCGCGCCAAGATCGAGAAGGCCAAGAAGGCGGCCACCAAAAAGCCTTAAATAAAGTTATTCCGTTATGGACAAACTACGGATTAGTGAGACAGAGGGAGAGCGTGAACGAGAAAACGACAGACAGACACACATACGGACCACGACACGGATCCGGAAAGCCCTTCCCTCCTCGAGGATGATGCTTCGTTGCTGCATACAGACCAACATACAGACACACACCTGTTTGATGGCCGATAGATGGAATAGAAGAGCGTGTGTCGAGTCAGCGCAAAGCTTATGTCAATAATACCATCCCTGTGGGTCTGTTTCTCTCTCTCTCTCTCTCTCTCTCTCTCTGTTTGGACCATGGCATTAGGACCCTCCTCTCGCCACCAAATTACGCGACGGCCGACATCCACACCGTCAGTAGGACTGGGGCGGAAACGTGAAGTCCTCGGGGTCCATGCCCGTTTTTCCGCTTTTCCGCCGCGTACGGATTAGCAGTGATGGCGATTCTGGAGGAATTAGGAGCCTGTCGATTGGAGTTCGTAGCACCCGGAAACTTGTTTTTGGAGGGAATGCCGACCCAGAATTGAATTCAAAATCTTGGAAATTGAAAAAGCAGGGCGGGAAAATGGTGGTCCAAAACACAAAAAACCAAGCGGTTTCTGACGAATTTTGGGAATGTTAGACTACTATAGTCTGAATCACTCATTTTTAAACATTAGATACAAGTTGAATGCTTTCTACAGTATTTCAGAGCAAAAACAAGGTTGAAAATGCTGCCAAAAACCCCTGGAAAAACGTTGAAAGTTGCCGCGCGTAGTCTAAATCCGAGAGGGGAATTTGGTAGCGACGAAGTAAGCCAAAAAATTCCAAGATTTCGATAAAAACGTGGAACCCGAAGATGGATTAGGCTCCTGGGAGATTACGGTAATCAAGTGGATAAATAATTCATAAAAAAATTGTAATTTTAACTCTAAGCCCCTCTAATACAAGCTTCTCTGACCCTTTCAAGCCACTCCAAATCGACCTGTCGAATCATCCGAAGTGTCTTGATGGCCCTAGCAGACTATCCAAATTTTTCTCGCTCTCTCCCTCTCTCGCTCTCTTTCTATCTCTCTCTCCCTCTCTCTCTCCGCCACAATGGTCCGCGCGGAAAAAACGCGGCGGAAAAGTGACGCGTGGGGCACGCGGTCCGGGTCATATTTGCTCTCCCACCGTCTTGTGGACGTTCAGCACGCTTTTCATTCGAGAAGCCCCGGGTCGTCGCCACACTTTTGGCAGGTTGCCAAGAATTTTTGGGGCGATTTGTGTGTTGTTTATTGGGAAGTACTGTTTACGTATGCCGGCCAGCACCGCGTTGCTATGGCTAAATGGTGGGGATGGGATCGGTCAAGCCCCACCACTGCCACCTGCCCACCCCACCCTCAGCCAAAAACAAATTTGCATTTTTTCGGAAGCTTCTCGTTCTCTTTTGACTGCACTGCGCTAAGTTACGTCAGGCTAACAAGGAATCAGTTTTGGGTGCTTTTCGAGTTTCGGGACGGTACCTAGCTAGTTCAATAGAAAAAAAATTCTAAGCAAGATATCGGTTTCAAAAAGTGCTGATCGATAAAGATGATCTAGAAAATTGAAAAAAGCACTAACAGCCACTCCTTGTAAGTACACTACGGTACTTTAAACTACGGCAGACTACGCTAAGTTACTCCGCACGCCTACCCTGCTCGCTACACACCAATTTTCGTTTTTTTTGCGGAGCTTCTCGCTCTCATTTTTGCCTGCTCTACCCCTCGCTATGATAAGCAACATTATGCTACGCTACTCCTTACCGCTACCCCGCTTGTTACTTGCCAATTTGCGGTTATTGCGTGACTTTGTCGGTCGTTTTGGCTGCGCAACGCAACGCCTAAGCTACGCTACGTTACGCTACGCTACCGCCCCCAGCATTTAGCTGCGCTACGCTACGCTTCTCGCCACTACGTTACTCCTTACGCCTACCTAGCACCAAAGGTACCAATTTATTTTTTTGCAAAAGGCTCATTCTCTGCCCCTTTAGCTGCACTACCCCACGCAATCTGTAGTTCCTCTAAGATTCTCCAAAAAAAGCAGGTCCCAGGACGACCTGTCCTTTTGTGGCATTGTGTGTGTGTGTGTGGCTCTCATATCACACATCATACCCATGCAATTCATGGGGGAATACAGGTAGACGAGAGAAAGGGAGAGAGAGAGACAGAGAGAAAGAGACGCCGCGACCTACCCACCGGCTGGCCGATTACAGCCCCCAATCCATATGCAATGGCTGGCCCCTTATTGGGACGCGATTTCGTGTCTCTCTCTCTCTCTCTCTCTCGCTCTCTCTCTGCACCCTCTCCATCCCGCTCGCTCTCTCTTCCGTTCCGTTTGCATACTGTTTGCCCTTGTTCTACACGGTGGGTGATTCCGCATTACTGCGCGCACGCCATTCCGACCCCCTACAGGGCGGTGCGTCAAGGCCGTAGTGTGGCGGAACTGTTTATCTGTTGCTCTCTCACACTCTCTCGCGCTCTCTCGCTCCCTCGCTCTCTCTGGCTCTCGATATGTTTACCCTTGCTAAGTGATTCAACGAATTGTGTTTGCTAGTGCTAGATATGGCTAAAATTTGTCATTTCGGACCGAAATTTGCATAAACGATGTCTCTCGCTCTCACTATAATGCTCTCTTTCTCTCTCTCTCTCTCTCTCTCTCGCTCTCTCTGGAAAATTTCCATTTCACACCTCTCAACATTTCGGTTCCACCTCGGCCACAATCAGGTGCGCGCGATGATTAATAGCGTCGCACGCGTATCAGTTATGAAATTTAGCCAGTGCAGGCGAGAGAGAGAGAGAGAGCGAGAGATAGAGAGAGGGAGAACAAGATTGAGAGAACGAACGAGAGAGATATAGTCTGCCATAATGCCGAGGTTTGCACCGTTTGCGCAGCCGCATCAGTGTCTCATTTCCGGAGCGAGAATTCCGAAATTCCACCGCCTAGGTGTCAATTTTCCGTTGATGAACTATTTCCACATTGCATTTTGTCATAGGAACGCTGATTACCCGCTCTTTGTCCCTCTATCCTGCTCTCTCTCTCTCTCTCTCTCTCTTTCTCCCTCCCTCTCTCTCTCTCTCTCTCTCTCTCTCTCTCTCGTTTTTTGCTTTTTGAAGCCTTTAAAATTCCAGTCAATTTATCGAAAAATTCCGAGACTTTCGCCCCAGTTGACGGTGTGTGTATCATCGTGTTCCCATGTCTCCCCCCCCATTCCATTCCATTGCTATAATCGGATTTCGATCCTTTTCCCGTCGTCCGGGTGTCCCATAAATATTCAGGAGTTTGTGCTGCTACAGCGCACGTTTCGGTGAGTGTACGGGGGATGGGAGCGGAAACTTTCATTATCCAAAATTTTGAGACCGGTTTGAATAATTTTTTTCCAAAATCGTTGGTATAAATAAAATTATTACAAGGCTATCTCTCTCTCTCTCTCTCTCTCTCTCTCTCTCTCGTTCTCACTGTCTCTATCCCTCCTTATTTGCATATTTTCCCCACCGGTCAATCCCCCACAACCAGTTTCTTGTCGCGAGTCTTTCCCCTGCCCGAC